AACAATACTTACTTGCCTATATCTGAAAACCTTAATTTTGAAATACATCATTGTTTAGGAATAAACAGATCCTTGTTATAATACCGGAACAAAAAAAAACAGCACCTCATCTATCAAAGCAAATAATTCCATTGCAGTTCAATAGAGTTTTTCATTTGACATAGTACATCTCTTGCAGATTTTGCCCTTGGTCCTGCAGTTAGCAGACTTTGATATATAACCCATGTAGTAATTATTCACTTTCATTCCTCAGATCAGCCTTTTTATTCAGCCTTGATATTCACTTCAGTGCAGTTGGCAAACTTGTACCGTCTTATGGTGACAACTGTGCTTTGCTGCCCCATCATTTATGTATTGGGTCCCTACCCCCTTTTGGTTCCTGCTAATTAGTTTTAGTGAAGGTCACTTCCATCTGGGTATGGTATATAGTAAAATAATGAAATCGAAAGCCTGGCACTGATTAGAATAGGATACAATGCAACCAACTAGTACAGTGATATATTACATTACTGCTCTTATTAAAATTACTCCTGCATCACGGAATTGCTTATATGTTATAGATACACGGAGATCATTACATTGTGTCAAAGTGGCCAAGAGTCCACTTCTCTAATATATAAAGGATATATTTTTTAAGGTGTTCTGAAGTAAAAGTGTGTCAATCACCATCATTCCACTAGTTATGCCTCCTTTTTTACATTTGTTTACCACTTTCTAAATCAGAAATTTAGATACATCTCCCCTAAAATGTTTTTTATTTTTTTTATTTCTAGATTATCAAAGCAATTTTGGATTGGCATATTACATTTTTGAAGACATATTCTACCTGAACGTTGCAATGTACATGTAATGCCCAAACAATGTCAGACAGTATTAAATTGTGCTACTCATCGGGATGTCTTTATTCAATAAAAGTAAATCATGAATTCCTCAGGGATACATAGGGATACATCCACTAGAATTCCACTGATGGGGGAATACATTTTTTTTGGTTTGGGCACTGACAATAAAAATGCTCATATTGTTAGGAGAATGATTTATTGATTTTTGGTTTGGGTACTGACAATGAAAATGCTAAATGTTATTGCATTATCAAAATTACAGAGTTTTGATTGTTCTCTTTGTTTCAATATATCATGGATGTTAATCTCATTAAAAAAACAGCATTGTTTTAGATTACTAAAATGAACCCCTCCTTGTATATTGACCTGTTAGTTTCCACTGGCACTGGTTTGCAGTTGCTTTCAACTTGTGTGTCAATAAATTTTCTGACTTTGTTAATAAATGAAAAGTTCCAGAGTTCAATCTCTGTAGTTTGGTGCTCACCTCATAAATTACATTATCGTTACCTTCCTCCTACTGAGCCATCTATAATTGGTGCAATCAAACATTATAGAAAATCTCGCTAATGTCCATAGAGGTTTAATGCCATGATTTAAATTGAGATGATTGCAAAACATGCATTATGTGTTGTGGCTTTGAACATTTTATAGATTGATCTAGTTTCACTGTAGTTGACAAAAGCTATATTAAAGAGTCACTCGAAGAACTAGGAATACCTGGTCCCCATTTCCTATAAGAGTAGCTGATAAGTATAGCAGTGTGCAAAATATAAGCCTGCCCTCTAGAGCAGTGATGTCACAGAAGGAAATGTACTTCCTCCTGTGCTTTCTACCCTTAGTCTAATTTGTGCCTTCCATGTGCTCACATCTTATGCAATATGTGGACAAATATCCCTCCTTTCCATCTCTCATCTGTGACCCTGAAAATAAATGGATTATTAGTGTAGCTGTGCTTAACATTTAGCAAACAAAAGGAATGCAATGTGAGGGTTATTCCCATTATATGCTAATAAAATTATATAGAATAAGTGGCAACTGCACCATCTCAGAACTACTCATATGCATCAAGTACACAGGTACATATTGTACACATCATCTGTCAGAGTCATGTTGTCTACTATATGTTTAGAGAATGACAAATTAATATCTGCAAACTACCAATCTAATATCAAATCCATTGTGAGGCCCTTATTGACCACATCATTTAAGCAGTGGCAGTGGTTTAATAGAATAAACTGTAAAATGCTTACACCCACTACATTTCCTTCTGAACTGATATGCTATACATCTCATCTTAACCAACGATGAACATGGTTTCAAGGTTGGGTTTTAAACATGCAAACCATTTAAATAAAGCATTTTCCATTTGCTATTTTTCATCTTCTGAACATGAGAAGTATCAGGTTCAAGTGGAGAAACTGTTAAGAGTGGTGTATAAATATTTTACTTTAAATTGAAGCAGACTTCCATTGTTATGTATTGTAAAATATAAGTGCCATCTATTGGTTTACTTGTGTATTGCAATTAGCTATATATTATATAATGCTACTAAACATTGTACATAGACAATGACCAGGGGCTTTCCCACATTATGCAAATTACTTTGATTTAAATATCCTGTATATTAATTTTTTTCTCTATATAAATTAAATCATTGTGTCCTGCTCCAACAAAATGTTACACTCTACTGTTAAAATATACATTCATTAAATGGTTAGGCTAATACCAACAAGTTTACTGTCATATGTTTGGAAACTGCCCCTTTGACAAATAAAAGCTTTTTTTTTTAAAGTTTCCTGCAAAAGCAATGGCCTGTATTTTTTTGTGTTAATATGGGTTTATTGAGATTACCAAAAACGCTAAGAGTAGTAGAACAATTGCACACATAAAGGCAAATTTAATTATTGTACAGTACTGAAGTCAACAATCTTAATGAGAAATTAAATGTTCTCTAAGAACAAGTCATCATCAGATATCGAATATTCAGGGGGGGGGGGGAGTTCCAACAGGTGTGAGGAAAAAGAGAAAGAAAAATGGGGGGAATAACAAACTTCTGTCACCGAAGCAATCACAGCAAAAAATTTAAAGTTATCAGTGATACTGTCCGAGGCATTAAATATTAACTCCTCATTGGTTCTAATGTTTTGCAATTTTTTACAAAATGTAAGCTGTAATCATTTCTTGATATGTGCAAAGGAAGCTCCACATGCATGTTAAAGGCACTATAATTAAGAAAAAATAAATAGTTACCCACCATCTCTGCCTGGAGTTTGGCCATGCAAAGGTATAAGGGCAAATCTGTGTCAAACTTCCACTGATGTGGTCTGACCAGGTTGCCTACAAACAAAAATAAAATGATGTATGTAGACTGTATGCATGTTCACAATCCTACCATACATGTATTTATCCTTTCCCTATACCCAAAATGTAGCATGTGTAAAAATCTCACAAATTATGTAATAATAAAATAAAAATAAAAAAATGTTGTATATGTAAAAACGTGAAATGAATCCAACTTACAGTTGCTTTTATTCCATGAAATAATAATTATTTCATTGATTTATATCACCAGACACAAATATGACACATAGTGTTATTTGTGATAAAACAACCAATAATATTTATGTTTGCTGAATGTTAACTCACAATATAAAGAGGCAATCTGCTCTGGCTCAAAGAAAATTGCAAATGGTATCGTGTTAATTTCTTCCACACCTTCCACTCTCGGAGTAAGGGTTCTCACAGTGGATACCTCAAAAGAACATGTTTTTTGTTCTGTAAAAGTTATTTAATTCAAGATACGTTATTAAAATCACCTAATATTTTCTAGTAATAGATATTTTTTTTTCACAATTAAATCTACAAATAAAAGGAGTTTGGATTGTACGGATTTCTTGTTTTTTTTAGTTTGCTCTTACCAAGTTTGTTCATTTGGGCTGAGGTCTTATTGAGTGTATCTATTTTGTAAACCTTGTGAATAAATCGATTTTTTTATAACATCTACCTACTTTATAAATACTTTATTCTCTGTACAATTGTGTCTAATACATAATAATTGACTTTTAGGTACATTTTTTAACCACCTCCAATCACGGCGGCTTGTCAATTCAATATAACTGTTAGCATCCACAAGCTTGAAGTAAGATTTTAACTTAATCATAAAATTCTCAACATAAGTATTTGCATGCGTATTGTTTCAGGTTATTCTCCAGTCATTAGAATCTGAAATAAAATCTTGTATTTACTTTCTAGTCGCATCCAAAATGAAGAAATTATCATCAATATAATGTCGCCAGGTGACCAAATAATTCCCCCTGGTCAATATACAAATGTACAATAAACAAAATATCATTAATATAATGTCTACTGGTGACCAAGTTATTCCCCCGGGTCAAAGTACAGATGTTATAAGACCCAAGATTACTTGTGCACTATCCCAAATCCCTACATACATTTAAATAACTTGAAGCTTTTTACTATCAACTTCTATATTTTTTTGCACTTTATGTACATTGTAGTTACATGATTGCACTACTGAATTTTGCTCTGTCATTTCATGTTCTGCAGGGACTTACACAATTTAATCTGCCTACACCTATATCCAATACTTGTGATAATACTGCTACATGCTGATATTACTAGAGCTTGTACTAATGGGCACTTACACACTTTGTTGTTTGCCATTAACCCAATGCTATCAGTATTCCTCTTTCTCTCTATTTTTCATCCAAATATACACCAAATTAAGAAATTCTGGACTTTGTTTCATGTTTATTATTGCTTACACTATCCACATTTTACCCTTCTTGTAAAAGTCTTTATTGGGGTTCCCAGTAAGCAGTGTTTAGTACTTACAAAAATGATGCACAGAAGGATAACAGCAGGAACAGATATTGGGGACCTTCATTGACGATTTTCATTGATACTCAAAGACATATTGTGTGAAACACAAAATAAGGTGTTGAAGACACTTTAGGAATTTTAAGCCCGTGTAAATTGGGAATAATCAGAACAAGCAAGTTTGGTGAATACATGAGTAAGAAACACAAGCATACTAGAGAGAAAAGGCCATGAACCAGAAACATCAGTACTAGTGATGTTGCGAACCATTCGCGAACTTGCCGCGAACGGTTCGTGGCGAACTCCGGTCAGCTATCAGCTGACACATACCTGCCAATCTCCAGCAGACCCTCCCTCCCAGACCCTCCTACTTCCTGGACAGCATCCATGTTGAAGCTGCCTTTAACATGGATGCTGTCCAGGAAGTAGGAGGGTCTGGGAGGGAGGGTCTGCCGGAGATTGGCAGGGATGTGTCAGCTGACCGGAGTTCGCCGCGAATGGTTCGTGGCGAACCTCGGCGAACCGTTCGTGGCAAGTTCGCTAGCGGTTCGCGACATCACTAATCAGTTCCATGCAATCCTTAACAAAACTTCCACTGAAGTGGCTGACCAGGTTGCCTACAAACAAAAATAAAATGATGTATGTAGACTGTATACATGCTCACAATCCTACTGTGGCGAAACCGGCCTCGCCACGTGTCCTTGGAGGGGGCTGCTTGCCCGCCTCTTGCCTTTGGACTATGGACCAGACTTTATGTGAATGTGTTATACCCCAGATAGGAATCCCATGGAGCCCATTCGTATGAAACTGACTGTAAAGACTTTGGCTCCATGGCGATTAAACTGTATTTGTGTGGTCCGAGCGCCATTCACTTAATAATGTGCGCTCAGACCTGAGCTATCTGGGGATATGTGAAATGTCTGTGTGTTATGTGTAAAATGTGACTTTATGTATTTTAAAGTGTTTTGTGTCTTTTTGCAACCATGTGCTTAATGGAGTCTTGTGTCTGTCCTGGGAGATAATTGAATTACTTATCTCCAGGATAGAAGACTCTGAAACTGGTTTGGGCCAGAAAGCCATGCTTCATTTAGTCACAAAGGACTTTTTACTAACTTTTGAACCCCTTGTCTGATTTGTGCCATTTTTGAATATGTTGTTTCCCTGAATGGATTGATTGTGAATATGTAATTTTATGTGAATGTGATGTATGGTTTTGGAGTTATGAAAGTTGGGTAGAAAGTATGTTTTAACTGTATTGTATAATTGAGTTTCCTCTCAGGATAAGGGGAGGGAATATGTGGGATGTAACTGTGATGTGATTGGTTGTTTTGTAACGCCCTGTGGGCTGTACTATGTTTGTGGATTGGGAATAAAAGTGACTGTATGTGACAGTACAGAGAGTTCTATTTTTACCCTCAACTTGAGTCCTGTCTCTTATTGGGGGAATCTGCTACAAGGGATTGCTATGCTAGGCATATTCCCTTGCTATAATCACTGAGCTCTTGTAAGAGCTTGTTCCTGCTTCGTTCTGAAGGGAGATAGCTGCAGCCTGCGGTGCTTATGGTGTCTGGTGGAGTGCTTGGAGTCCTCTGGAAGCGCTAGGAGCATCTTTCAACGGAGGTACCCAGTCGGGGTGCCAGGTGATCCGTTACATTGGTGGCAAGCGGTGGGATGGCGTCCTAGTGCGAGGTAAAGCAGCTCAGAGACACAGTCGTTTGGATTTACAAATTGAAGGCGACGCTAGTGTTTATACAGCGTCCCTGTCTACATAAAGATTTGGGAAAATGGGGTTTGTGGATCCTTGGGCACCTCGCACACCTGAGGAAGAGGGTGAATTGGACTGGAGAGATATTGCCCGGCAAGAACTATGGTACAATGCCCTGGAGGAAGTCCAGTATCAACGGCAGCAGCGCCTTCCTGGTGTCGCATACCGGTTGGAGGAACAAATGGCCTGGCGGATGCCGCTTCTGGGAGACCAACCCGGAGGGCAGCAGGTCAGACAACTTGAGTACCTCGTGGAAAGGGAACTGAGCCTTGACGCCTCATACCGGGCACTGTGGTGGTGCACTGTCCAGCCAGAGACATGGAGGGCAGAGGGCATCCAGCCGGAGGGGGAGAACTACACTAGCCCTGGCCTGTTGTGGAAGGCCTTAGCAGAAGACGTCGACTTTGGCAGTCCAGCAGAGTCACGGTACTGGTCTATTTTTTATTACCGGGGTGAGATGGTACAGGGCCCGAGATCTATGGGACTGGGACAAGACCTCCACCGTTTGGCTGCCATGGAACGACAGCTAGAGATGGACTATGTGGAACTACTAAACTCATGTCAGCCACAGGGCATAGACACAGAACAGGAAAACTGGCTGGGAGACCCAGACCTGCCAACCTACAGCTGGGAAAACGCAGCCGAGGTACCCCCTGCTTCACTACCAGCGGCAGAATTAGGGGACCTCATAGACTGGTCCTGGGAAGACCCACAGATGGCAGGTGGAGATGGGATGGCGGTCTCTCTACCGGCCCTACAGGGATGCTGGGCGGTCGGCCCAGATCTCCAGCGGCAGTGTGTACCCCAGGGAGCAGAAGGTGCAGTCCTTCCTCCCCAGTGGCAGTGTGTACCCCAGGGAGCAGAAGGTGCAGTCCTTCCTCCCCAGCGGCAGTGTGTCCTGCAGGAAGCGGAGACAGTCGGTCTCGCTCCCCAGCAGCAGGGCAATATATTAAAAGGGGAGACAGTTGGTCCCCCTCTCCAACAGCAGAGAGGGTGTCAGGGAGAGGAGCTTGTTACCCCCCTCCCCAGCGGCAGCGTGTACCCCAGGGAGATGAAGGTGCCGTCCTTCCTCCCCAGCGGCAGTGTGTACCCCAGGAAGCAGAGACCATCTGTCTCGCACCCCAGCCGCAGGACAAAATATTGAAAGGGGAGACAGTTGGTCCCCCTCTCCACCAGCAAAGAGAGTGTCAGGGAGAGGAGCAGGTTACCCTCTCTCCCCAGCGGCAGTCTACAGTTCAGAGAGAGGAGCTTGTTACACCCTCTCTCCAGCGGCAGCCTAACCCACCAAGGGGAGATGTTAAGCCCCACAACTATGCAGATGGGACCATAGTCTCTGCACTTGCAGCCCCAGGGGCAGGGACGGTCGGTCCTGTCCCCCAGCCACAGAGCAGTGTATCCAGAGGGGAGACAGTCGGTCTCCCCCTCCCCCAACCAGGCTCCAACCAGGCTACTTCGGTGGTAGCGCTGGCACCCGGGCAGAGTACCGCTGGTCTCTGCCCACTCAGCAACCCACCAAGGCAGTCTACCAGCCCCCCGCACAGCTGTGGTGAGGCACCTGGACATGGACAAGTTGCTATTTTATCCAGGTGTAGTAACCAGTTATTGTGGGTGGGCTGTATTGCTGTTTGTGCTTCGTGGGTGGGTTGCTGGACTAACCAGGGCACTGACCGGCAGGAAGTCAGATACCCTGTTAGTTTGGATGGTAAAGGGGAGAAATGTGGCGAAACCGGCCTCGCCACGTGTCCTTGGAGGGGGCTGCTTGCCCGCCTCTTGCCTTTGGACTATGGACCAGACCTTATGTGAATGTGTTATACCCCAGATAGGAATCCCATGGAGCCCATTCGTATGAAACTGACTGTAAAGAGTTTGGTTCCATGGCGATTAAACTGTATTTGTGTGGTCCAAGCGCCATTCACTTAATAATGTGCGCTCAGACCTGAGCTATCTGGGGATATGTGAAATGTCTGTGTGTTATGTGTAAAATGTGACTTTATGTATTTTAAAGTGTTTTGTGTCTTTTTGCAACCATGTGCTTAATGGAGTCTTGTGTCTGTGCTGGGAGATAATTGAATTACTTATCTCCAGGATAGAAGACTCTGAAACTGGTTTGGGCCAGAAAGCCATGCTTCATTTAGTCACAAAGGACTTTTTACTAACTTTTGAACCCCTTGTCTGATTTGTGCCATTTTTGAATATGTTGTTCCCCTGAATGGATTGATTGTGAATATGTAATTTTTATGTGAATGTGATGTATAGTTTTAAAGTTATGAAAGTTGGGTAGAAAGTATGTTTTAACTGTATGTGTAATTGAGTTTCCTCTCAGGATAAGGGGAGGGAATATGTGGGATGTAACTGTGATGTGATTGGTTGTTTTGTAACGCCCTGTGGGCTGTACTATGTTTGTGGATTGGGAATAAAAGTGACTGTATGTGACAGTACAGAGAGTTCTATTTTTACCCTCAACTTGAGTCCTGTCTCTTATTGGGGGAATCTGCTACAAGGGATTGCTATGCTAGGCATATTCCCTTGCTATAATCACTGAACTCTTGTAAGAGCTTGTTCCTGCTTCGTTCTGAAGGGAGATAGCTGCAGCCTGCGGTGCTTATGGTGTCTGGTGGAGTGCTTGGAGTCCTCTGGAAGCGCTAGGAGCATCTTTCAACGGAGGTACCCAGTCGGGGTGCCAGGTGATCCGTTACACCTACCATACATGTATTTATCCCTTCCCTATACACAAAATGTAGCATGTGTAAAAATCTCACAAATTATGTAATAATGAAATAAAAAATAATAAATGTCGTCTAAGTAAAAACGTGAAATGAATCCAACTTACAGTTTCTTTTATTCCATAAAATAATAATTATTGACTATAAATTATAAGTATGTCTGACAGGCTCCAATAGTAGGTGGAACTGTAGCAAAGGTGCATGGTCACAAACCTGACAGTTTGGTTTTGTTTGTTTCATGTTTTTTATGAATAACTGGCTATCTTTTTACACTATCATACTAATTAATATCATACTATTAACAATATTTGTTTATATTAATCTGATCCCCTTTGTTTTGTCTGTAATGTAAAGTTTAATCCAATGTCTTCACATTAAAAATGTCTAAAGTTATTTCAGAATCTTAACAAACACTAGGCTACTTGCTTATAAGTAGAGAAGCACGGCCTTGTGTGGCAGTGTTGCACTACATTACTCAGTAGAGTAAGCAAGCAATGTAGAGTGCCTAACCACTGGCTGAATAGCAGTTAATTCGGTTTAACTTTGGTCTCATATGAGTTTTTCCATTTGAAGTCCTCAGTCAGATAACAAATAGATATGGTTTTTTTTTTACATCTTATTTTTGTACAGTCTAGTATTTTTTTTTTTTTTGAAACATTAAGAAAAAGCATTACTTCACATCCTATAAAACCCTATACATGCCACACATGAAGAATATACACGTGATATGCCTAGTAATGCCTAGTAACTTACACAAATAAGTTTGTCTTGAAGCTTCTGAAAAAGTATATTTTAGCTCTGGAGATTTTTGTGGCCCCTAGTAGGCACTGGTTACCTCCTCTCAACTCATGCCATTAGAGCCTCTTACTAGTATTTACACAATTTATCATATAAAAAATAGTCCAATAATTGCACTAAATGTAATACATATTTTTTATTTTGTTTAAGAAAATAAAAATCATTGAGCATATGTAGCAGTAGTGAATAAC